GGTGAGGGAGGAGGAGGGGAGGGGAAGGGAAGGGGAAGGGGAAGGGAAGATTACCGAGTGGTATAGAAGTAGAAGGGAAGGAAAGACGGGGGAGGGGAGGGGAGGGGAGGAAATATTACAGAGTGGTATAGAAGTAGACAATGGAGTAATGTTGACCAGGGATGGGGCAGGAGGATGTGGGGAATTTTTGTACAATGGGTGTAAAGTTGCAGTTATACAGATGAGTAACTTCTGGAGATATGCTGTACAACATAGTGCCTGTAGTTAACAGTAAGATATTTACTTCAAAATGTGTTCAGAGGGCAGATCTCATGTTGGGTCCTTACCTCCCCATCCCCCCCAAAAAAATAGACACAAGTAAACTTTGGGAGGTGCTTTATGTTTGTTACTGGATTGTAGTGACAGTAACATGAGTGTATGCATGTGCCTAAACTCACCAAATTACATCCATTATGTGCGGTTTTCTACAAACCAGTTATACCTCAACAAAGCTAGGGCAAAGAGGGAAAAAAATGCAACCAGAAAGAAAAGACGTTACCTACGGAGAAACTACAATTAAACTGGCAAGTTTGTCCGTAACAAAAATGAAGCCAGATGACAATGGAACAAAATGTTTAACAGGTAACAGGCACTCGGCAAATGAGCAATAAACCTTGCTACACCTCTCAAAGAAAATATTATGGAGAAATAATAAATCACTCTCTCGGTGTTTGTTTTCCTTTCTCATGGAGTGCAGTATTATTCACTCCCAAGTCCCTAGGGCCCTAGGGAAAGTTCTCCTGGGAAAATTAAAGAGAAACAGAAACAGAAAGCTGTCACATGGGAAAACAATTCTGTTTTTGTTTCTTCAATGAGGAAAGTAACAGAGAAGCAGATTTTGCTAAAGAATTAGTATTTCTTAACATTCCAAGTTTTCCCCAAGACAGAAAGGGAGGGTGGGAGGCGGTGGGTTCCCATTCTGGGACGTGTTCACCAACAGACTGGCCATCGCGTGGTAGAAATGTCCCAGGGGGCCATAAGGAAATGCCTGCCCAATGGCCTTGCAGCGTCCTCCAGGGCTCTGAGTCGCACTCTAGGATGGGGCATTGGTCTTTTGCAGGGTGACTGTCTCTGACCAGGTAATAGGACTCTGACAGAAGCCCAGGGGAGTTAGCAAGAGCCTCACAGCCCAAAGCACAGCAATGCTCTATAGAACAGCAATCCTGAAATGTGGACTTTGTCACCACCCTAGGAGGACAGCCTCCACCCACTCTACCGCACGTCTACCGAGGGCCTCGGGGAAGGACGTCCAAGGAAGACACCCCTGAAGAAGGGGCAGGCCCCTGTCTTCTGTTGCCAGCATCTTCCCAGTCTCCTTTTGAGGGTGATTCCAGCTCCCATAACCCAAATCCTGTCCACTGCTCAATACCCTGGAAAAGGTCCACAGAGAAAGTCCAAGTGGTTCTGAGGGGGTTCCCAGGGCCCATAGCCATCCATACACATCTGAGACCTCTGCGAAAGCCACACAAAGTCAATTTGACTTTGTCTCCCTTTTCTCAGGCCATCCTTTTGGCCTTGCAGTCCGTGTGTGTGTGTTTATTTTAAGAGCTTTGCTCATCATTTGTTAAGGAATATATATGACTGGAGGGTTGTACGTGTTTGTACATAAGAAGTTACACAAGGAATCATAGAAACACACTGCCGGATGGAGAACCACCTTAATGATGAGGTTTATCTAAAAAGCTGGAGTTTTTGCCAATCACTTGAAGAGAAGTGTTCAGTGTCATCTGTAATATGAGAGACAGAAGATGGTTAGACTCACATACACACAGGTGAGCTCACTTACACCTAAGGCCCCAACTAAATGCCTGGCCTTCCTCAGGAAAAGTGAAGCCATCTATCTTGAGCCCCTGTCAAGTACCAGGACCTGATTGCTTTGACCTGATTACAGGACCCTGTCTGGAACCCTGCCAGCAGCCCATGGGTTCTGTGCAGTGGAAGTGAGACTCTGGGAGGTTAAGTAACCAACCTCAGCATATAGCCAGGAAGTGGCAGATCCTGGATCCCAGCTTTCTCCATCTCCACAGCTCTTTCCACCCCATCCCTCAATCCTGTGCTGATCCAACGTACTTTAGCCGGGTTGGAAGGAAGAATATCAGTAGCTGTCTCCCCACCTTGGGCCTTGTCTCCTAGGATCTGTAAGCGTTCAGGTAGACATCCAACCAGTGGCAGCCTCCCTCCCAAAGGTTGCGGAAGTCCCCATTTGCTGGGGAAAACCCTGTTTCTTGGAAAGCACCAGCAGAGGCTGGCAGTGGGCTACTGTGCCCACCCAGGGAGTACATGTGGCTCTGCCTGGGATCAGCAATAAGGCTCGTGGTCCTCACTGGGTGTCCCAGCCTCCTACCTTTGAAGCCATCGTGCTGTCTTCAGTTGCCACCTAGCTCTGTGCATAGAGAGGCTGTGCATGACCTGGATGCAAAATAGGTACAGAGAGGAGCAATTAAGAAACAGGAGGCTCTGAAGTTGGACTGGCCAAGGTGGAATCCGGCTCCACCACTCACTGGTTACCCAATGTTAAGCACAACATTTAGTCTCTGTAAGCCTCCATTTCTTCACTGTGAAGTGGGTCTACCAATCACCTGCCAGTCACTGTAAGGAGTATATGAGATGAGCCATATTACCACTTAGCATGGGGCCTGGTGCCAGAAACTAGCTACTCTCACTGTGGGAGGGAAAGTCATGATCATTCTTGTTTTTGACCATGCCACTGAGCAGGCCATGGCCTGGGAGAAATCACTTTTCCTCCCAAGCTTCCTTTTTCTTTCCCCACCTAGTGAAATGAGTGATCTTGACAGCGTCACCTATAAGGATCCCTGCAGTGTTTACGACTTGGTGACTTTGGTTGGATCACTTTTAGGTAGTCGAGATCCTAAGGACACCCTGGAATCTGGTTTTGTTGCAGACTTTTATACATTGGTTTCTTAACTCCAATATTCAGTCTTACTCCCAGGAGCATCTAGGGAATGTGGGTACGTTTAACACCCAGACGTTAGGCGTCAATGGCATTATCGATGATCAGCTGATGCCTCTGGCTGAGAAGTCCACTCTGCTTGCTGTTGGCTCCTGTACAAAAAAAAACACTTCTCAGGGCCTTCTCAGCCAGAGAAGTGGCCAAACAGCCTTCCCAGGAGGGAGGCAAAAAAAAAGGCCAGTGACTCCGGGAATCTACAGATCTGAAAAACTTCCAGCCCGTCATGGGATACTGTGTCCTCTACAGACCTGAGCCTTGGATCCCTTTCCCAGGATCTCTCAATCTTGGGAGGAGGCAAAAGTAATGATGAGACCTGTCCTCATTTCCTCAACCTACCACAAAGTATTGCAAACGGAATGACTCAAAACAATAGAAGTGTATTGTTTCACAGTTCTGTAGGCCAGAAGACAAAAATCAGGGAGTCTGTGATGGTTGCTTCCTTCTGAGAGCTGTGCGGGAATCTGCTCTGTGCCCATCTCCCAGCTTCTGGTGTCTGCCGGCCATCCTTTGCATTCCTTAGCTTGTGGATGTGTGAGCCCAATATCTGCCTCAGTCATCGCGTGACCTTCTTGTGTGTGAATTGTCACATCTCCCCTCTATGCACATCTGTCTCTGTGTCCAAATTTCCCCCTTCTGTAAGGACACTAGTCATGTTGGATTAGAGTCCACCATAATGGCCTCATTTTCACTTGATTTAACTATTACCTCTCTAAAGGCATTTCTAACAGGGTAACATTCTGAGGTACTGAGACTTAGGACTTCAATATATACTTTTGGGGGGACACCATTCCACCTATCACAAGGTCCTTGGACTATTTTCATTACTTCCAAAGGTATAAGAATTAAACATTTCTTCCTACTGATTCTTAATAATTCTGTTTATTAAGTGCACAGACTCTAGAGATTACCTGGGTTTGAATCTTGGCTCTGCCACTTACTAGCTGTGTGATCTTGGGAAACCTATTGGGCCCCTATGTGTTCAGTTTCCTCAACTGTAAAATAGGAATAATAATAATATTTACACCTCTTAGAGTTCATATAAACATAAAATAAAAACACATTTACAATCCCTCATCTTATCCATCTTCTATATCCTACCACATTTGGAAAAGGCTCCATCTAATAAAAACAGTAGAAGTATCTACAATACTTACCATGTGCCAGGTGCTAGTCCAAATACTGTTGTGTACATCAACTCATGGCACCATTGCAGCAACTTTCTAAGGTGGGTGCTAGCGTCATCCCTGTTATGCAGAAGCAAAAACTAAGCCCTAGAGAGATCAAGTCATATAGGTACAGCCCTGCAGCCACTAAAGGGAGAAGTTAGGACCCCAATCCAGATTTGTCTGACTCCAGGGCCTTTTAGGAGCCACTGGGACTGGTTGACTGTCTAGGAATAATAAAAGGGTCTTGTAAGAATGAAAAGAATCACAGGCCGCCACCTTCGCTTGCCCAGAAAGTCATTCTGTTTTCAAAGGCCTGATTCTGGAGGCTTTTCCTATAGTGGTGATCTGTGCTCAGAAAACACACTCGTTTCCTTACAACAGGTCCCGTACGTGAAGGGCACGTGTCTCTCTTCCAGGCCCCAGGATGGCTTTGGAAGGCCCCCACCCCAACCCAGGAGAGCCAGGAAGAAGCAAACCATGATATCTTCCCCCCAGGGAACAATGGTCATTTGCCTGACATCTTGACTCTGTGGTTTTGTATCTTCTAGGGAAGTCAGTTAGAACTGCTGTGCTGATCAAGGGGATGCTCTGTCTTTGAAGAAAGAAGAAATGGTCCCTCCCCAGCCATGGGCCACCCTCGCCAGTGACTCCAAGTGGAACTGCTTAGCTCGTGTGTGCCTGGAGGGTGCAGAAGCCCAGCGACTCTCAGACGCACCTCCCAGAGGACCGGTGGGAATTGTTCATAGTGCCAAAGCCCTACTACTGCGTTTTCAATGGGTCCTTGTACATAGTTTGCTCCTCTGCCCTAGCCCTCACCTCTTGCTATACTGGAACTGATTTGTACAATATGGGAATTTTGTTACCTTTTTAATCAAGGGCAACTTCCTTTTCCAGCACTACCATTGTAAGGATTTTTTCAGGAGGGAGGGCTAACCACCTTGCTTTTCTCTTTTCTCCTTTTCTTTTTTTATTTCTGTTTTATTAATTTGGGGAAAGGGGTGTTAGTATTAGTGCCATGATATCTACTGGATTTTAAGTAGGGAGACTTTATTTTTAAAGGTAGGTTGAAATTTGGGAGATTTCTCGGCAGGAAGGGCTGAAATCCAGGCCTCTATCTCAACCTGGAGAGAGGTGACAGACGACAGATCCTCCAAATCAAATTCCTTTCCAGTTCTTCCCCTGGCTGCCTTTTTGGGGGGTCCCTGCCTTACTCCCACAGAAGGCTTTATGAACTGCCAAGAGGGGATCTGGCTTCGCAAATTCTTGGCCTCTTGGGCCAGGCTGTATCCAGCCAGCCCTGGGAGAACTGGGTAGCAGGTGGCTGACTTCTTTAAGCACCTTTCTAAATACCAGCAGAAGAGGCTCCTGCCTCTGTTAGTATGATCAGTACTATTGTGACATTAAAACAACAACAATAAGATCTTCCTATCTGGAGGGTACAAAGGTGAATGACTTTGGTTTTCATTTCTCTTCTTCACTGCCTTTTCTCGGTGTGGTATTTGACAAGATTTTAGCTCAAAGCCTCACCATGAATTGATTTTTTTGTTTGTGTGTGTGTTTGTTTTGGGAAAATTTTAGATACCTGAGTGCACTTTTTTTCAGTTAGTCCTACCTTTTAAAAGAAGGAAAACCAAGAGACATATCTGGTGTACATGTTGCAATATGAATTCTGGTTGCAATCCCTCCCCCGTCCCACATTGCCCCCCATTTGAGTACACCGCACAAGTCAAATGCTAGGAAGTTTGAATAAAACCAATTTTTCTAACTTGTCGCTCATTTGTTGTAACTCAATAAAGCAAAGACTAAACATTTTTATAACCTTTTCCTCTACTTCGTCTTCTTTATTGTTGTCTGGCTCCCGAGGGCTTGGTGTAAGGGTTCTGACTTGAGTACCTCCGGTTTCAAATTCATAGGGTCACATTTCTCATTTACCATCTAGGAGGGATCTGACATCACAAACTGGACTTTAAAAGTGGGATATAGGCTTGGCGCGGTGGCTCACACTGTAATCCCAGCACTTTGGGAGGCCAAGGCGGGTGGATCACCTGAGGTCAGGAGTTCGAGACCAGCCTGGCCAACGTAGTGAAACCCTATTTCTACTAAAAATACAAAGATTAGCTGGGTGTGGTGGTGTGCACCTGTAGTTCCAGCTACTCAGGAGGCTGGAGAATCGCTTGAACCCAGGAGGCGGAGGTTGCAGTGAGCCAAGATGGCGCCACTGCACTCCAGCCTGGGCAACAAGAGCGAAACTTTGGCCCCTCCCTCCCTCCCAGAAAATAACCAGATGTAAGTGTTGTTGTAGGAATCTTCAGCAGATCTCTTTGACACAGAGAAGGAAGTTATAGGTCCCCCCTTCTCCAGGGTCTCTCAAATAGATTCATAAAATAGTCAAGAGAAGAGCTTCAGAGTGGGAGTGAAAAGCCCCTCTGTGTGCAGGCTCGCCCTTGGGTGACCTGAGCTCAGTCACTCCCCCTCCCTGGGCTGCTGGCGAGTGGTAGCTGGGGCACTGCCATTTCTCTGAGAAGGTGGCTTTTAAGTATCTCTGCTCTGATGAGGTTTAAAGAGTCCCTCACTCTTCGCACTTGACACTCATCCAGACCAGTGGTTCTCAAACATGAGTGGGCACCAGCATCACCTGGAAGGTTGGGTAGAATGTCTGATGGGTATGTCAGGGGTGGGAACTGAGAATGTGCATTGCTAACAAGTTCCTCACCTTGGGAACTTCTGGTCTAGATGCTTCATTTTTACGGGAACTTACAGACTTTTGGCCAGTTTATCTAAACTTAGCATGTGTTTATTCTACAGATAAGGGGAAAGACCCACTTCCCAAAATACAGGAAACACTGAAAAGTTCAAGAATCAAAAGGGCCTGGCCTTCTCTGGGGGATGCCCTCAGTCTCCCATCCTGTGGGCTCCAATGACACCATCCCCATCTCTGCACATAGCCCTCACCACACAGCTCAGGATTCATTTGGTCAGCTTGTCAGTTCCCCCAAGCTGAGAGCAGGAGCCATAGATTCTCCATAACTTTATACCATCTCCAAAATCCCCATAGTTCTCTTTACCACTCAGCAAAGTTGCATGTAGACAGCTATTCAAAAATAAAAATAGGCCAGGTATAGTGGCTCACACCTGTAATCACAGCACTTTGGGAGGCTGAGGAGGACGAATCACTTGAGGTCAGGAGTTCGAGACCAGCCTGGCCAACATGGTGAACCCCATCTCTACTAAAAATACAAAAATCAGTTGGGTGTGGTGGTGGGTGCCTGTAATCCCAGCTACTCAGGCTGAGGCACGAGAATCACTTGAACCCAGGAAGCGTAGGTTGCAGTGAGCCAAGATCACTCCACAGCACTTCAGCCTAGGCAATAGAGCAAGACTCCATCTCAAAAATAAATAAATAAATAAAACCAAAGTAAAAATAATCGCTATCTTTTTTTTTTTTTTTTGAGATGGAGTCTCGCTTTGTCACCCAGGCTGGAGTGCAGTGGCGCGATCTCGGCTCACTGCAAGCTCCGCCTCCCAGGTTCACACTATTCTCCTGCCTCAGCCTCCCAAGTAGGTGGGACTACAGGCTCCCACTACCACGCCCGGCTAATTTTTTTTTTTTTTTTTGTATTTTTAGTAGAGATGGGGTTTCACTGTGTTAGCCAAGATGGCCTCGATCTCCTGACCTCATGATCTACCCGTCTCAGCCTCCCAAAGTGCTGGGATTACAGGCGTGAGCCACCGCACCCAGCCTGGCCTACATCTTCTTTTCTTTAAAAAAAGTTAAAAGTGGCTGTGGCTAACTCATCTCCCAGTTCCTGCCTGCACTGCCTTCCCTGCCTGTGCCCCGAGCACCTGGACCTTCCCCAGACCTTGTCACCCACATACTGTCTTGTCCTCCCTCCCATTAATAAACATTTCCAACACTCTCTCCCTTGACAGGTGGCTGCCTTCCCCTCCTGCCATTTACCACCCTTGCACTTAAGCTTGCCACTGCAAGGCAACTTAAATAAATTTTTCACGCACAATGGTATGAGATGCTATCAAATGCTTGAAAGACCCAAAGGGAAAGCCTTGATAATTGGTGGGGATGAAAATACACAGGGAAGATGGGTGTGTTCTTTTAAACACCCAGCAAAATATGTCAAGCTATCTTCCTCCACTGGAAATGATTAAAGAATGGCAGAAACTAGGAAGGAGGTTCTTAGGGGGAATAGATGGGCAGGATTCTTGGTGAGGTGGAAGAGAGTGGTGGGATGGAGTGATCATCCGCTGCTTCTGTCTGCCCTGTACCTCTTGCACTCCTTCTCTTCCTTGAGGATGTACTCCTATCCCCCTCTGCTCATCTCATTCTGGGGCTTCCCATCATGGTAATCCACTCTCCCTTCTACAGCAGTGACCCACAACATTCCAGTACCTTGTTCAGGGACAGGTACAGTACCATGCATAAGACCCAAACAGGACCAAGTCAGACACTGGGAGGAAGAGCTTCCTTTCCCATTCAGATGGTAAGTGTGATCATGTTAGCTTGGAACCACCAGTGGCCAAAGCCCCTGCCAGGGAGAGGAAGCCAGTCCTTAAGTAGAGAGAATGAGGCCCAAAAAATCAAGAAAAGAGACAAGGGAGCAATAAAGGATGGAGCAAGGGATGATCATGGTGGTGGTGATGACGGCAGTGGTGATGACAATGTTGATATCATGTGAATTCCTGGAGTCTGCCATTCCTAAGGCCAACTCCTTGTCTTTCCAGTTTCATAAAAACCAACATATTTTCCTTTTTAGCTTAAGCTTCAAATCTTTTGAGTTGGGTTTCTGTCACCAGAAACTCAAAGAGTTCTGGTGGGTTAATGAAATTATGAGATAAAAATGGAAAGAAAGACGGCAATTGTAAATAGCCGTGTTGACTTGTGGCTTCAGTATTGGATGGTGCGGTTCTTAGTCCTTGCCATTCAAATGTGCTCCTGGATCAGCAGCATAGGTATCACTGGGAGCTTGTTAGAAATGCAGTATCTCTGGCCGCTACTCCAGATCTGTTCAATCAGATTCTGTAATTTGACAGGATCCCCAGATGATTCGTATGTTCAGTAAACTTGAAGAAACTCAGCTCTGAAGACACTAAATGACTCCTCCCCAACCTCCTCCAGCACACTAGAACTCTTTGAGTTTCTAGTGACAGAAACCCAACTCGAAATATTTGAAGCTTCAGCTAAAAATGAAAATATGTTGGTTTTTATGAAACTGGAAAGACAAGGAGTTGACCTTAGGAATGGCAGGCTCCAGGGATTCACGTGATATCACATGATATCACTGGTGGTTCCAGTGGCCAAAAGTAAAGGGATGGGTGGCAAGTCTAATAACACATCACTGGCCTGTTTGCAGAGGGTAGACCCTAGGGCCCGGGAACAGGGAGGCAGAGGAAGAACAGGGCAGAGAGTGCATGGTCCCCCAGCTGATGACATACTTGTCCTTCTAGGCCACCTGGTGCATAGCCACTTCCAACCAACAGTGCTTGGAAATGATAGCTCTCACTGGCATGTCACAATACAACCCAGAGAGAACCAGGAAAGATGTCATCTCCCTCCTACTAATCCCTGAAAGCTCCTGTCTCCAACATCTCACAGCTGGACATACATATAAAGCACAGCAGAAAAATTATCATTGCCCTGGGCAGGGGAAGGGGGTTGATCAATAAAAATGAATAAAAAATACTTCATGAGCACATCCCAAGACATGCTGCATGTTGAGTATCCTGTAGAGTGTAAGAGGCATCCTGATCTTGACTTTGAGGAACTTAAAATCAAAGGGGGAGACCAAAATGTTCACCAGTAATTCTGAAACTTTCATCCATAACAAGCCCCCAAAGCACTACAGACAGCCCTAATCTGGATCCTTGCAGGAAAGAAATTGAACACTTACAATGAGTAAACTGGGAGTGGTTTATTAAAAAGGATTTTTATAAATGTGTGAACAGGGTTTGGAAAAACTAACAAGGGAAGATACAGAAAGACTGGCTTGAAGGGGCAAGGGATGGACAAAAGATGGCAAATACACACTAAACTTTCTGTCATACCCCACTCCACAACCATAGTAGATATTAATGATCAATCAAAGTACCTTCACCTGCTGGACTTGGTCAGGTCTTCATGATACTTAACACAATGCTCCACCTCAAATCTATTAACCTTGGAACATGAGATGAAATATGTGATGGATGCCATTGGTTGCCCAACTAATATCCATCCCCCATCCTTCCTTGCTAACAGAACCAAGATATTCCTCAGGCAGTGTCTTCATCTACTTGTGCTGCTATAAAGAAATAGTTGAGGTTGGGTAATTTATGAAGAAAAGAGGTTTATTTGGCTCATGGTTCTGTAGAATGTACAAGAAACCTGGTGCTAGCATTTGCTTGGCTTCTGGTGGGGATCTCAGGTTGCTTCCACATATGGTAAAAAGTGAAGGGGAGCTGACTGTGCAGAGATCACACAAAGAGAGGAAATAAAGTGGGAAGGGATGTCAGGCTCTTTAACCAGCTCTCAAAGGAACTTCTAGAGCAAGAACTCACCACAAGGACAGCACCAAGCCATTAATGGTGAATCCACCTCCATGACAAAAACATCTCCCATTAGGCCCCACCTCCAACATTAGGGATCACATTTAAACATGAGATTTGGAGGGGTCAAGCAAACGAAACTACAGCAGGCAGTAACATACTCATCCCCAGGTGAGAAACTCAATTTCCCAGCTTCCCTTGCGGCTAGGTGCAGTTAATGGGACATCACCAGAAGGCCACTGAATAGTTGGTGCTACTCTCCTTCTTTACTTTTTCTTGTTTTG